CCCGTTGCAGCCCTTCGTGGCCCCCTCGCTGCCCTTCGTGGCCCCGTTGCATCCCTTCGTGGCCCCCTCGCTGCCCTTCGTGGCCCCATATATGTATGCCCTTCGTGGCCCCCGCTCGTTCGCGTTCGTTGTGGCCCCATGTGCATGCCCTTCGTGGCCCCGCTGTCGCCGTTTGTGGCCCCCTCGCTGCCCTTCGTGGCCCCGTTGCTGCCCTCACTGGCCCCGTCCTTGCCCTCCGCGGCCCAGTATACGAATGCCCTTCGTGGCCCCCGCTCGTTCGCGCCCGTTGTGGCCCCATGTGCATGCCCTTCGTGGCCCCGCTGTCGCCGTTTGTGGCCCCCTCACTGTCCTACGTGGCCCAGTTGTTACCTTCAGTGGCCCCATCGTTGCATTCTGTGGCCCCGCATTATCTGCCCCTCGTGGCCCCCGCTCGTTCGCGCTCTTCTTGGCTCCACACGCATTCCCTTCGTGTCCCCGCTGTCGTCCTTCGTGGCCTACTTCGTGTCCTTGTGGCCCTGCTGTCGTTCTCTCTCGCTCTCGCTTTCGCTCGTCGTCGTCGTCGCCGTCGTCTTCGACGTCGTCGTCGTCGTCGTCGTCGTCGTCGTCGTCGTCGTGGTCGGTCCCCTGTCCGTCCTCTTGGGGTCGGGTCGACGGTCCGCGACCGCCCCGCCGATCAGCGCTGCCGCTGGCCAGGCCGACGGTCCGCGGCCGCCCCGCCGCTTGCCGGGGCCCGGCCTGCAGGGAAGAAAGGTATACCCCCCAAAAGGGGTTCGATCGAAGACGAAGAGGGCGGGTATCGAGGGTTCGGGAAATACGCGTTATTGGACACTCGAGCATATAAGGGCGAACAGTCTTAGAAGTAGTGTCGTTGTTGTTGTTGGTGTTGTTGTTGTTGGTGTTGTTGTTGTTGTTGTTGCTGCTGTTGTTGTTGTTATGGTTGTGGTTGTGGTTGTGGTTGTGGTTGTGGTTGTGGTTGTGGTTGTGGTTGGGTTGTTGTTGTGGTTGTTGTTGGTGTTGTTGTTGTTGTTGTTGGTGGTGTTGGTGTTGGTGTTGTTGTTGTTGCTGTTGCTGTTGGTGTTGTTGTTGTTGTTGTTGTTGTTGTTGTTGTTGTTGTGGTTGTTGTTGTTGTTGTGGTCGTTGTTGTTGTTGTTGCTGAACATTATTACTTCTAAAGAATAATTATTGTTGGGACCCCTGGTGCATGGCCCCCCCGCCGCGCCTAGGCCGCAGCCTCATTTTCATCATTTTCGTGAGGAAGTCTCAGGCAAAACGGGTTGGTCCGGATCCGGTTGTGTTGTTACGATCGGTTTTCCCTTGCAAAAATAAGCTAAAGTGGACATTTCTTGTTCTAACATAACCAAACTTCAAGAATCCCTTGCAAAAAACAAGGTAAAGTGGACATTCGCGCGCGCAAGACGAAATCCTTCCAAAACCTTAGTTTTCGTAGCGATTTTAACATAAAAACATCAAAAAACCAATGTTTTTTTTCAAAAAAAATGTCAAAATTTCATCCCGCGCGCTCTTGCGGATTCGTAGGAAACCCAACACTTTTTAAACATTTCTGTCAAACGGGCTTTTGCGAGCAACTTTTTCGAACTTCTGCAACAACGGTTGCGCACCTGCCAGGGCCATCATCCCTGTCAAATAATACCATGCGGGACACATTCGTTTTTCCTTCGCGCGCGCACGCCGTCGTCGTCGGCCGCGGGGCCCTGAATAGTAGCCACGGTCGTCCGCATGCCACGAAGTGAAGTGTCCGAACGTCATAGGGCGGGAAGCTGGGTGTGGGTGGTGGCGAAGAGTCGTTTGGAAATTTGGTAGAGCTTGAACCGGCCCCCCCACAAAGTGGGGGTATTGCCCGCCTCCTATGAAAACCCTGGCACTGGTGAGAACGGAGTGTCCCCACGTGCTAGTAATTGTTGTTGTTGTTGTTGTTGTTGTTGTTGTTGTGGTGTTGTTGTTGAACATTATTAATTCCAAAGAATAATTATTGTTGGGCCCCCTGGTGCACGCCCCCCCCCCCCCGCGCCTAGGCCGCAGCCACATTTTCATAATTTTCGTGAGGAAGTCTCAGGTAAAACGATGTCATCCAGATCCGGTTGTTTTGTTGACGCCCGCTTTCCCTGTCAAAAAACACTATAAAATGACATGTCTTGTTCTAACATAACCAAACTTCAAGAATCCTTTGCAAAAATGACACGAAGTGCACACTCGCGCGCGCAAGATGAAATCCTTCCAAAACCTTAGTTTTCGTAGCGATTTTAACATAAAAACATGAAAAACCCAATGGTTTTTCAAAAAAAAAGTTTCAAACATCATCTTGCGCGCTCTTGCGGATTTCTGAGGAAACCCAATATTTTTCCAACATTTCTGTCAAACGGGCTCTTGCGAGCAACTTTTTCACGTGCTTCGAACTTCTGCAACAACGGTTGCGCGCATGCCAGGGCCATCATCCCTGTCAAATAATACCATATTGGACACATTCGTTTTTTCTTCGCGCGCGCACGCCGTCGTCGTCGGCCGCGGGGCCCTGAATAGTAGCCACGGTCGTCCGCATGCCACGAAGTGAAGTGTCCGAACGTCATAGGGCGGGAAGCTGGGTGTGGGTGGTGGCGAAGAGTCGTTTGGAAATTTGGTTAGAGCTTGAACCGGCCCCCCCACAAAGTGGGGGTATTGCCCGCCTCCTATGAAAACCCTGGCACTGGTGAGAACGGAGTGTCCCCAGTCTTAAATGATTGTTGTTGTTGTTGTTGTTGTTGCTGCTGCTGCTGCTGCTGCTGCTGCTGCTGGTGTTGTTGTTATTCCTGTTGTTGTTGCTGCTGCTGTTGTTTGTTGTCGTCGTCCCGCCCGCGACCCCGCCCGCGGCCCCGCCCGCGACCCACCCGCAACCCACCCCGCGACCCACCCGCGACTTTTCCGCAACTCACCCGCGACCCGCCCAGCGACCCACCCGCGACCCACCCGCGACCCACTCCGCGACCCACCCGCGACTTCCCCGCAGCTGACCCGCCCCGCGACCCAGTCCACGACCCACCCCGCGACCCACCCCGCGAACCGCCCGCGACCCACGCGCGACCCACCCGCGACCCACCCCGCGACCCACCCCGCGAGCCGCCCGCGACCCACGCGCGACCTAGTCGCGACCCACCCCGCGACCCTTCGCGCGACCAACCCGCAACCCACCCGCGACCCACCGGACCACGGGGACCCACCACCCGCACTCCACCGGCGACCCACCCCGCGACCATCTCCGTCATCGCCCGCGACCCCTCCGAGACCCACCCGCGACCCACCCCGCGACACACCCGCGGCCCACACCCACGACCCACCCCGCGTCCGCCCCAGCCTTGCCCGCCGGCCCCCGCCCCCCATCCAATGTTGGTTCGACGCTTGGCGCTTGGTGCCCGAGGCGGGAACTTATACATGACCACCGCCTGGAGGGTCAGTTTCCGGAGCCTCCGCAGGCGGTGGATATGGACATTTTCGGGCCCTCAGGGGCCGAAATATATCATATCCACCGCCCGCTGGGGCACCAGGACGTCGGTTCCCAGGCGGTGGATATGGAGAAATCCCCGCCTCGCATGGTGGTCACCCCCGCCAACATCGGAGGGGGGACGGGGGGCTCGCGTCGCTCCTGGGGCGGCCGGGTGACTTCAAGGTGGCCCCATCATGACACCATGGCTTTAAGCGTACCCGACGTGCCCCCGTGCTACAGTGATGACCTTGAATTCCCAACATGATCCCATGGAGATCTCATACACCCAAGAGGGCGCGATGTTGACCTGATGGCCATCATGCGACCTCGCGACGTCTCAAGAAGACCCCAAATTCCCATGCCGACTTTCATAAAGCGTTTGTTTCGGGACGATGGTAGCACGTCTTTCTGCGTCCCATACTAAAGCAAGAGGATTCGGCTCGACGATTGCCTCCATACCAGGGAGGGAAAGAGTGAAGGCGGGGTACGTCGGCATTTGAGCAGTCCGCCAGCTCGCTACACGCGCGTTACTTGCCCAGGCCCGAGCTAGGCCCCAGCTGGGTCCACGTCGTCCTTGGATTGCCAGGTGCATGGCATTGAGGCGTGCCTGACAGTCATGTTATGTGGTCTGCTGGGGGAATCGCAGAGGGAGGAAGAATGGATGATGATGAGGAGCAGCAGCAGCAGGAATATCAGGAGGCAGGTTGACAAGAGGTGGGCGAGATGAGTGCAGAGTAGGGGCACGACCAGGAAGTGGATGAGAGGGACGAGGGAGGGAGCCTTGGCAGCAGGACCAGGTCGAGGACGAGGGCGAAAACCAGGACGAGGGCGAGGACGCGGAGGAGGTGGAGAGGGACGCAGGAGGATAACGACGAGGGGGTCGGCACGGAGGAGGAACGCGTCCGCTGAAAACATGTCACCAGACCAGACCCCTCCTGGGGTTCATCCTGCCGTGGCCACGGTAACGAAGGCGGCCTCGGAGAGGCCCACCAATGGCCAGGGGCGTTCAAAAACCAAGGAGGAGGAGGAGGAGGAAATCCTCAGCCCATCGCCCCGCTCACTCCCAGACATCCGACCTGGCTGGCTCGACGGAGGCAGTCTCGCCTCCAGGCCAGAAGTTGCCCCACAGCAGCGCCAGTCGTCGAACGTCAGTCCAGCTCGAGCTGGGAAGGAAGGGGGGCGGGCAGCGAGGGAGGGCGATGGTTGGAGAGGGAGGGAAGAGGCAGGGAGGAGGACGGGAGCCCTGACATTCGCCGACTCGATGTTTGTTTGTATCCGCGGCCCCAGAGGTCCCGACCGCTTCCCCTGGGGTAGTTCTTTGTCCCGGATCCGTTTTTGATAGTCCCGGGGCCCGAGAGTGGTCCCGAGGGCCCAAATCGACGTAAAGATGCACATGCTGAACACATTATGTTGTCGGGGATCTGGGCTCTTGCGTCAGCATCACCGACAGTGGAAGCTCAGCAGCGGCAGGTCAGCAGCCGCAGCCTTCGAGTAGCATGCCCGGGCCTCCCGCGCACACGGCGAGGCAGACCAGCACGCCGTCCATACTGAGCGCCGCAGAGGCTGCGTCGGCCCTCGGGCAGAAGTTCTCGAGCCAGGCTCGCTGCACGCAGCGGTGAAGGCGACTAGATCTACCCAGATCTCAGATGATAATGATTTTTGTTTAGCGGGCAGGTTGCTCCTCGATTTCGGCCCTCGGGGGCCATGATCGGGCCTCGGGACCATCAGAGACGGATCTGGGGCGGAAAACGACCCCTGGGAAGCGGTCGGGACTTTGAGGCCGCAGACTGACATCGTCACATCTTCGCATGTTAGGGTATACGCATGCACCGATCCGAGGCACCAGTTCTGGGCCCCAGCTGGGCCTGGTCAGAATCCGCGTGCATGGGCATACGGTCGTACACTTTTGGACAGCGTGTCGCTCCGCCGGTTCTGACTCACCACGCTGCGGCGCGACACGCTATCCATTTCCCAGTCCCCAGGCTTCACTATCCGCTTGCAGGGCACAGCGTGTCGCCGGGACCATCACTGCGACACGCTCTCCCGCAGTTTCCGACCGTAGCTGTCTTCCTTGTGGAGGTGGACGGCATAGCCGAAGTTGAGGATCGGCGGCGAGCGAGGGGGGGAGGTGAGAAGGAGAAGGCCTCCTCAGGAGGCGGCGGGGCTTCTCAGAAGCCCTCGCGCCTTCTGAGAGGTTGTCCGTGCCCTCGGGGAGGACTCAGCAAACTTCTCCGAAGGCCGGGGGACTTCCGAGCCCGCTGAGACCAGGGGCAACGATAGGGGAAGATAGGCATAGGGGGGGACGCATCGACCCCCAATCGCCCATTGATCGCCGATGGGGGCCCGATAGCCCCTGCCTGCCCAGGAAGGTGCGGATTCACTAGCAGAGGCCTATCGCCGATCTATCGGCGATGTATCGCCGATTCTAGGTCGATGCATCCCCCCCCATGCCAGTCCCCCCCTTATCGCTGCCCCTCATGAGAGGGCCCGCCCCTCCTCGCTTCCCCCCCCCGCGCTCGCCGCGGGTCGACGGCCGCAGCTCGCAGCTGCAGGCTCCTTAGCGTTTCTGGGGTGGCCTCGTTCGGGCGCCCCCTGGGGCGCCCCCGCCGCCTCCGCGGGGGTCCGCCTCGGAGCTCGGGCCAGGGGGCCGGTGGTGGCACAGGCCTCGGAGCAAGAGTAGCGAACGCTCATGCCACATTCATCTGGGAACGCCTCCTCCTCGCCCCAATGTTCAAAGTTGGCGGTGGGTCTGATGAGTTGCACCTCGACCGCAGTCTCCCCCGCGCGTGCCGACTTTGAGTTTGGGAGGCAGGGGGGGTGTTCACTAATTGTTTCCCTCTACCGCAGTCTTGGGTCTTGGCACAGGCTCTCTTCCGTCGCAGAACACTCAAGGCGGCCAGCTTTCCCGCACGAGGCGTGCCAGAAAGGGCCCCGCCTTCGAGGGCCAGAGGAGTCGGCAGCTCTTCCTCGGCGACAGGCGGCGGAAGGTTGGCGGAAGGCGGCCAGCTTTCCCGCATGAGGCGTGCCAGAAAGGGCCCCGCCTTCGAGGGTCAGAGGAGTTGGCATCTCTTCCTCGGCGACAGGCGGCGGAAGGTTGGCGGAGGGCGGCGGCGGAAGTAAAACGTGGCGCCCTCCGCCGGCGGAAGCCTGGCGGAAGGCCGGGGGAAGGCCGCGGGAGCAAGATGTACCCTTTTGCAAGGTGGCAGCAGTTCTCTGCACGAGCGAAACGGGTACGGAAAGAATGGGTGCAATGCCCAAGAGCAGTTCCGGTTCATTTTGAACGTGACTCGCTGTCCACGCCGCCGCGGCCTGTGTCCATTCGAGACAGAAGGCCGCCTGCCCAACAGCGGCCGCTGTTGTTCTGGGACAACATTTGGTGTTCGGCATTGTGCCCATTTTTTCCGCATCCATTTCGGGCGTCCAAAAGTTTCGGGTTCAGGGTTTCTGGACCCCGCCATGCGTTTCGGAGATGGAGTCCCGCTTCGGGCCCTGGGGCAGCCAAGAACAGTCTGGCATCAGGCATTTGTCCCCAAGGAGGGGTCGAGAGGCCTTGTGGGGCCCAGGTCACGAAAGAATCCTGTCGCCGGCTGTCTGGGGAGCAGAGGGATGAAGAGGCGGGCGGGAGTTGGCCGAGGAGTATATGAATACTGTACATGATACATGCTGTATGGAATAGAAAGACGAGGTTTTGCAGCAACAGACAGGGGATGCGCACGAGAACGGCGCGTGGGGGCTCTGCAAGAGCAGCTGTAACGCACGTGCAACTCAACAAGAAGAGCCTTTCTCTGCATCCCAGTGGCTCCCTCAAGGGAGGCCAGCGGATTCGTTGTTGTGACAGCACTTATGGCAGCAATCTGAATATTGCCAGCCATTACGCCCGTGGATGGACAGAGCGGAAGTACATTTGGCGTCGGGTCTCCAGCTATACCGTAACATCCGCCGCTCTGCGGTTGATCGGGAGTTTCTGTATATATAGAAGAAGGGGCGCGCGCTTCTGGGCGAGAGGGAAACGACCGAGAGAAGAAGGGGCGGCCGCCCCACAGGACCTCTCCATGGTGCCGGAAGCCCATCAGGGCTCCCTCAGGGCCCCTCCCCCAGGGCCGGGGCTCCCTCTCCTGCCCCCTCCCCCTCCTCCTCCTCCTCCTCCTCATCCTCCTCCTCCTCCTCCTCCTCCTCCTCCTCCTCCTCCTCCTCTTCCGCCCCCGTCGGCATATCCAGGCGTGTTATGCCGTCAGGTCGTCCGTCCGGAAACGGTGCTGGAGGCCGCTCTGGGCTCCTCTGGGCATCCCCCCCGGGGCCCGTTTTGTGATGATGTCTCAGGCGAGGGCGCCGGTTTGGGATTCGTCACCGGACCGGATCCAGCGGATCCAGCGGATCCGTCCGGAAACGGTGCCGGAGGCCGCTCTGGGCTCCTCTGGGCATCTCCCCCGGGGCCCGTTTTGTGAGGATGTCTCAGGCGAGGGCGCCGGTTTGGGATTCGTCACCGGATCCAGCGGATCCAGCGGATCCGTCCGGAAACGGTGCCGGAGGCCGCTCTGGGCTCCTCTGGGCATCCCCCCCGGGGCCCGTTTTGTGAGGATGTCTCAGGCGAGGGCGCCGGTTTGGGATTCGTCACCGGATCCAGCGGATCCAGCGGATCCGTCCGGAAACGGTGCCGGAGGCCGCTCTGGGCTCCTCTGGGCATCCCCCCCGGGGCCCGTTTTGTGAGGATGTCTCAGGCGAGGGCGCCGGTTTGGGATTCGTCGGACAGCGGATCCAGCGGATCCAGCGGATCCGTCCGGAAACGGTGCCGGAGGCCGCTCTGGGCTCCTCTGGGCATCCCCCCCGGGGCCCGTTTTGTGAGGATGTCTCAGGCGAGGGCGCCGGTTTGGGATTCGTCACCGGATCCAGCGGATCCAGCGGATCCGTCCGGAAACGGTGCCGGAGGCCGCTCTGGGCTCCTCTGGGCATCCCCCCCGGGGCCCGTTTTGTGAGGATGTCTCAGGCGAGGGCGCCGGTTTGGGATTCGTCACCGGATCCAGCGGATCCAGCGGATCCGTCCGGAAACGGTGCCGGAGGCCGCTCTGGGCTCCTCTGGGCATCCCCCCCGGGGCCCGTTTTGTGAGGATGTCTCAGGCGAGGGCGCCGGTTTGGGATTCGTCGGCGGATCCAGCGGATCCGTCCGGAAACGGTGCCGGAGGCCGCTCTGGGCTCCTCTGGGCATCCCCCCCGGGGCCCGTTTTGTGAGGATGTCTCAGGCGAGGACGCCGGTTTGGGATTCGTCGATCCAGCGGATCCGTCCGGAAACGGTGCCGGAGGCCGCTCTGGGCTCCTCTGGGCATCCCCCCCGGGGCCCGTTTTGTAAGGATGTCTCAGGCGCGGGCGCCGGTTTGGGATTCGTCGGCGGATCCAGCGGATCCGTCCGGAAACGGTGCCGGAGGCCGCTTTGGGCTCGTGCTCTTCGCGCCGGGGGTGAGGATGACGTGAGTTCCACAGAAACTCCCTCAAATTATTCGGGGCCCTGACATGCCAGCAGGAGTTTACATTTTGTCGCAGTTTCGAGCTCAATGTCGTTGCGCTAACAGGCAAATGCATGGCTGAGTCTTGTTAGTCGTCGGCCTGGCTGGTTCGAAGGAGACAGTTTCACCTCCAGGCTGGAAGTTGCCCCACAGTCGTCGAACGTTAGTCCAGTTCTAGCCTGGAAGGAAGGGGTGGGCAGCGAGGAAGGGTGATGGTGGAGGAGGGAGGGAAGAGGCAGGGAGGAGGATGGGGGCCCTGACATTCCCCGAGACGATGTTTGTCGTATGCGCGGCCCCAGAGGCCCCGACCGCTTCCCCAGGGGTAGTTCTTTGTCCCAGATCCGTTGTTGATGGTCCTGGGGCCCGATACCCGCGGCCCACACCCGTTGTTGATGGTCCTGGGTCCCAGATCCGTTGTTGATGATCCGTCCTGGAGGGGCGACTTGATGGGAAAACGCCCGGACTGAACAATCGTATTCAGCTGCCTCTGACAATTCCGCCACCGTGCCAGCGCAGCACTGGGTGGCAACTACTCGCGAAGGCAAGGGGGCCTGCTGGGGGCTTCTTGGGGCAGAAGGCTCGGATTCTGGGTTCGTGTTCCCACTCTTGGGCCCTTGTTGGGGCTCTCTTGGGAAGTCGTGGGCACCTCTTGGGCCGTCTCGGAGCCCTCTTGGGCCGTCCTGCAGCTCTCTTGGGGACTTCTTGAGCCGTCTCGGTGAGAGCTTGGGCCGTCTTGGAGCGTCAGATGCTCGAAAATGCGAGAACCCCCGAAGTACGTACGTTGAAACAGTTAAGGACAATGAATGTGTGTTTGCCTCTCGGGGCCCTCTAGAGGCCCTCTTGAGGGCCTCTTTTGGCTCTTGAGGCGGAACGTCGGAAGCTCGAAAAGGCGAGAACCCGACAAGCATTGAAACATTCAATGACAATGAATGGTTTGTTCCTCGCGAGGCCCTCTTGGGAAGGCTCTTGGGGCTCTCTTCGGACGGGTCGACGGCCTCGCGGGCCGTCTTGAAGCCATCTTGGGCCGTCTTGAGGCCATCGTGGCCCGTCTTGGGGCGACATCAGGCCGTCTTAGAGGCATGCGGGCCTCGGGAGCGCCA